GGTGTGCTAACTTCCGTGGTTTACCCTTTTAACTTCCTTCTAATGCTTCAGAAATTCTATCTACAACTTTTAAACCATTCTTTAAAACAACACATCGTATACATCAGTATACATGGTATATGGACATGTAACACTAAAGAAATAATGTTTCTAATTTGTTTACCGATCCCGCGGTTGGTTTATTCCATAAATGGACGAGTCCAATAATAATAAACAACGCAGTTCAAGCCATCGTCTCCAGATGCATGATCTATTATATGTCTTTGTTCAGATGCACACGATAAATAAAACATAGGTAATCAGAGATTACAGCGCTCACCTCAACGAATGTTGTCTTTAAGTAAGGCAAAGTCACACAATAACCCAACAAAAAGTGCAGAATTTATGCAATTTTGATCTGATACTTTGGAATAGACCTATATAAAAACTTCAAACTAGTTCTTTGTCACAAAAATGTGATTAAAATCCAGCATCTGTAGCAAGTTTGAGAGTTTTCATCCCTTGATGCATCATTTGGGCAAGTTTGGTTTTTATAAGCCATATAGTTTCTTGGTAATAGAACTGCACCCATAACTTTTACCTGGTACATTATCTGAAAGATGTATGTTGAATTCAGCATCTAGAGCAAATCCATTAGTGTGCATCCTAAGATGTATCATCCATGCAAGTTTGAACAACATAGGGCTAATAGTTACTTAGAAATGAAACTTGCATGAAAATTTAACCTCTTCACTCATCCAAAAAAATGTAGGTCAGATTCAGCATCCGAAGCAAGCCTGGCAGAATGCAACCTTAGATGTATCGTCCATACAAGTTTGGTCATTATAGGGCTCATAGTATCTTGGAAATGAAACCTGTACCAAAAACTTTAACCTAATCACTCAACTGGAAAATGTAGGTCACATTCAGCATCTGAGGCAGGCCTGGTAATACGCATCCTTAGATGTATCATCCATGCAAGTTTGGTCAACATAGGGCTTATAGTTACTTGGAGATGAAACCTGCACCAAAAACATTGACTTGTTCACTCAACCGGAAAATGTAGCTCAGATTCAGCATCCGAAGCAAGTCTTGTAGTGTACATCTTTAGATGTATCATCCATGCAAGTTTGGTCAACATAGGGCTTATAGTTACTTGGAGATGAAACCTGCACCAAAAACATTAACCTGTTCACTCAACCTGAAAATATAGGTCAGATTCAGCATCCGAAGCAAGCCTGGTAATGTGCATTCTTAGATGTATCATACATGCAAGTTTGGTCAACATAGGGCTTATGGTTACTTGGAGATAAGACCTGCACCAAAAAACATTAACCTGTTCACTCAACTAGAAAATGTAGGTCAGAGTCAGCATCCGAAGCAAGTCTGGTAGTGTACATCTTTAGATGTATCATCCATGCAAGTTTGGTCCAAGCAGGGCTTATAGTTACTTGGAGATAAGACCTGCACCAAAAACATTTACCTGTTCACTCAACCGGAAAATGTAGCTTAGATTCAGCATCCGAAGCAAGTCTTGTAGTGTACATCTTTAGATGTATCATCCATGCAAGTTTGGTCAACATAGGGCTTATAGTTACTTGGAGATGAAACCTGCACCAAAAACATTAACCTGTTCACTCAACCGGAAAATGTAGCTCAGATTCAGCATCCGAAGCAAGTCTGGTAGTGTACATCCTTAGATGTATCATCCATGCAAGTTTGGTCAACATAGGGCTTATATAGTTACTCGAAAATGAGACCTACACCAAAAACTGCACCAAAAATGTTAACCTGCTCCAAAAACATTAACCTGGTCATTCCTTTGCTGAAATTGCAGCGTCTGAAACTTTGACTGGTACAATGAAACACATTAGAAACATCTTCCATGCATGTCTAATCAATATAGGACATAGAAGTACTTAAAAAGAAAACTGCTCCAAAAAACTTAACCTTAACCCGGGACGCCGACGCCGAGGGTATTACATAAGCTCCCCCAACTTCGTTGAGGTGAGCTAAAAAGTAGTGAATAATCTTGGATATTTCTTTCTACAAAGCCTAACTATTGATTTTACTTATTTCACTCTCAATATATCATGTATTATATGATAGTGTCATCACCCTCCCCTTTTAAGAAAAAAAATAATGAACACACATTACTACTGTTTACTTCAGAGGAGAAAATACACTCCAACAAAATGTGTTTTTAATTATATCCATCTTTTACAATGTTCACAATGCGTGATTTGATAACAGATTTTATAATAGGTGTTACAATGTAGCTTGAAATCAATTCATTTCCAAGGGCAGATCACTCCACTTGCAGACCCCCCCCCCCCCCTTTCAACTACAAAGTTCTTTAGTATGCAGTGTAGAGATGATTCTTCTACAATTTCAGTAAAATCAAGATTTCATTACATAAGGTTCTCAAAATATAAAGTTAGGATATTTTTTTAAACCCACAAAGTATTGCTCAAAAGGGTTATCACTCTTCATGCAGATAAATTGATGGATTTAGTCAGGCAAGCTTTTTAAAAAGCTGTTACTTGTGTAAATGTAATGCATATAGTGACAATCTAAGAAATCCGCGTAATTTTCTGCTCGCGGATTAAACAAAAATTGAGATTCCGCGGAATTATGACCCATTGGAAAAAAGTACGTCTACAATACATGAATTACACTATTTTAATATTATGAGTAATGTCAAAAAACAATCCAAATGCGGACGTTCAATATCTCACCTACACGACAGTCAGTTTCTTCAAGAGCTTCAGCATATGTGCAGAAATGATAGTGATTTAGACACGAATGCATGAGCCGATGGTAGAGAGTGTCTAAAATATTGAAGAAAGACATGTCTAGTTAGTTTTTTTTTTATCATTTGAAAATACATCTGATATGAAGTTTCATAATTTGATGACTAAGCTATTAAATAAACAAAGAGTAACAGTAACTAGCTCGATAGGGTCTAAAAAAACCAAGACTGTTGCTTCTAAAAGTGTAATGAAAACTTATTTTTTTAATCTACCTTCATGGATCATTCCGACAAGCCCAGAAAACTGCGGCAACCTCGGATATGTTTTCCGAGCTTGCCAAAATGGTGAATTGCAAATAAAAAACAGTACTAATTGTAATATTTTAAATAAAATGCTCATTAGTTTCTACTGACCTTTTATTTTTCATCTCGAAATTGAAATTATAGTAAAAGACTAAATGCTTAAGGCACAGTTACGTAGGACTGAGTTATACTTGAAGCCTACTTTTAGATTCGCCATCCTGAATTGTGACACACGCCCATTCCTCAGAGCACGAATGTGCCTTAAATCTTCCTATTTATGATTAATCGATAATAATCAGTAAATTCAAAAAAAAAATATGTACAGATATCTTCTGTGTTTTATTATGCTACAGGGCTACAATGTAGCTCACAAATCTTTGCTTGTATGAAAACTACAACACCTTTTATTTCTAAGAATTAAGAAATTAAACGAATCCCGTAGTAATACGCTTTGAGAAAAAAAAGAAAGAAAGTTTTACAAACTCCCGTATATAGTTCACTGAAATAGATATCATAATTATGCACATCGTACTATGCAAGTTTTGTCCGGTTTCGTCGATTTTTTAAAAAAAAAAGAGAAATGTTAAATTTAGTATCATACATCTAGTTGGCTGATGAATATACATTTAATTGTGTATCTAGTTCTTCTAGCACGTACATTATAATGTCTCTTAACCAATTACATAATGATTATAAACTAAAGGTACTGTGAGCAATGAGCTCACTTAATGATACCCCCCTCCTCTCATGTGAATATACTGGCGGTGTCCATGTTTTGCTATGGGAAACCCAAAATATGTTTCGAGTCAAATAGTATGATAGGAGGTGCACAATGGCATTATGTAATAAAGTTTCATCACATTTCATTCAGTGGTATAAGAGGAGCTGCGGATACGAGATGGGTACCCCAAGCATAAGAGGACGGACGGACAGACGGACGGACAGCTAGACAGACAGACGGACAGACGGACATTCCGATTACTATACACCCTCCCGATTTCAAGCAGGGGATATAAAAAAACTATATCCAATCATAAGTTACGCAAATATAATTTTGAAAAGTTTATTGAACATCTGATTTCAATAAATTGGATGATAACACTGAAAGGATTTTCAACTCTATTTCTAGAACATATTAAAGTAAGAAAACAATCAAGTATACAATCAAGTAATTTTTTATCGCAATTTGCTTCGCAAATATATAATTTTTCCTAAGAATTTATTATTGAAGCAAAGGTACTTAAACAAGTTTCCTAAAAAAAAAAAAAATTAGGGTACCTTTCCAGGCATTTGGAGAAGAAACCACTGGGTCATATTTCTTATATAACCCTTATGGGTAATCTTCTGAATGGCCTGTATAACAATTTTTGGTGTATTTATATTTAAAACAATATAGAAATCAAAAGAGAATGACAATCATTCACATTTTTTGATATAATACATGTACCAGAGATACAAAACATATATTTGAGAAACGTGTCGTCTGACCTTAAATTCATTTGTTTGAATCTTATCATATTTACAATGGTATATATATATCGAGAGATTTAAAGAATATAGTTACAAATGAATGAGGCATAATAGTACATGATTAAAACATACGTAAAAAAACCTCTTATTTACATATCTCTTCTGTGTTTTTATTAGTTCATATGCATAAAAAAAAACGCCCCTAGCTAGCTCCTTTCAATATTTTGCCAGAGAATCAATACACTTTTAATGCGATTTAACCACTCAAGGTTAAATCCGTTTATCAAAGTGCCATCGAGCTTTTTATTACTTCGGTATTAGGAGGTATCCTTCCGGTCCTGGCCTTGTATTAGCGCCATCCTGTTCTCAGGGTTTTCGGGGTATTAGCCAAACCCATGCACTTAAACCTGTGACGTCGAGCGCAAAAAATCAAGTTTCTTCAAAATTTCAACGAGGTAAGACGTGTTTTCAGCACTCGGGTTCTTTTTCCCACGTGCTCAGCTGCCTTTGGCGAAATTTCTTTATTGTCTTGCTAAGCATTGTAGATTGTGTTCGCTCTCTGTTAAATATTTGAACACGGTCATTGGTAGAATTTTTTTTCGTATATTTTTCAATTTATTTTGGCATCCGTTCGCATAGCTACACGTGGCCTTAGATACATTGGCACAATTTCCTCTAATTGTTACCATAATTCGACTGTTTTTGTTTTTGTTCATTTTTTTTAGTCAGAGTTTAATATTAATTTTTATTTGTGTGTGTGTATTTCATAACGAGCACACCAAGTCAACGACAATGCCAAAAAAAAGCGGGATTCGACGCCATTACCAAGAAGGCGCGCCAAGCGCAACGATGGCGCCCAGACCAGTCAAGGAGATGGTCAAACTGAAACCAGTGGAAGCATGGGACAGCCGTCCTTTAGCTTATCTAATGAGCAGTTGCAGCAGGTGTCAGAAGCTGTAGCAAACATCCTAAGCAAGCAGAGCGAGACAACCCCCCCAATGCCCATAGAGCCACTGGAAACCCCCATGGCCACACGGGAACAGAGTCAAGGTACAGAACCCGTTTTGATAAATGACAATTATCTTGCATTAACGACAAGCTACGACAATGATTTAGGCCATAAAGTATCAAATAAATTAAAACTTAAAATTGTTAATGGCGAGTACATCAATTTGGGCTTGTTGGTTGAAAATTCATATGGGGCCGATCCAAACGATGAGACCAGATATTTTTCTATGAAAGAGGGAAGCCTCACCCTGGTCCCCAAATCTAAAGCAAAGGTAGTCAATGACATACAAGTATGGACAGATGCCTTTCTCATTTACGCATCGATATATACCTCAGCCCATCCCGAGAGCAGAGCTCAGTTATTCAAATATATTCATACTATTAGGTTAGGGGCAAATAGAGTTAAGACTCTCGGGTGGCGTGATTACGACATCCAGTTCAGACTGAAGAAGGAGGCTAACCCATCCCTCTCATTTGCTGTTGTCGATCAGGAGCTATGGCTCTTGCATATGTACAGTCCCCCAAGCACCCAGACTTCCTCACATCAGGCCCCCCTTCTAAAGTGTTATGAATTCAATTACAAGGGCATATGTAATAAACTTGTATGTCAATACAAGCACGAATGTATGATATGTTCACAAAACCATCCCTACATTAAACATAAGACATCCTCAGGCTCTAGTATGAATTTTAGGTCAACTGGTCTGCAAGCAACATGGCGGCCTCAGCTACCCAGGAGACCCGCGGCACCAAGTTCAGCTATTAGAGCACCTTATACCCAATCAGCTAGACCTCAGTAATATTGCAGCAAGCCCGATTAACGTACCGAGATTAGGCGATTTATTAGCAAATTACCCACTTGGCTTGGTAGCCTTAGAACTTTTGCAGGGTTTTACAATTGGTTTTAGGTTGTGTTACGAAGGGCCTCGAGTGGCCACTGACTGTAATAATCTTAAATCCATGTCTGGGTTACAGTATGAAGCTATTCAGTTGGTCATTAATGAAATCATGTTAGGCAGAGTTGCAGGTCCATTCGATCAGCCCCCTCTACCGAACCTTAGGCTGTCTCCAGTGGGCATGGTAAAAAAAAGGGGGGTTCTTACAGATTGATTCATCACTTGTCTTACCCTACAGGGTCTAGCGTCAATGATTTTATTAGTAAGGAACATTGCTCAGTTAAATACTCGTCATTTGACAATGCATTAGACATGCTTGCAAAATTAGGTCCAGGAGCACAAATTGCTAAATTAGACATAAAAAACGCATTTAGGTTATTGCCAATTCACAGAGCAGATTATGAATTATTAGGCTTTAAAATTCAGGGTATGATATTTGTAGATAAGTGCTTGCCATTTGGATGTTCTGTAAGCTGTTCCAAGTTTGAGAAGTTTTCTACCTTTTTAGAATGGGTACTTAAAAAGCAGGCCAAAAGCAACAATGTGGTTCATTATTTAGATGATTTCTTGGTAGCAGGTAGGGATGGTAGTGAAGATTGTGCTAGGCTTATGTCGGTTTTTAGTTCCATTTGTCACGAGCTGGGCATCCCCTTAGCGCACGAAAAAACTGTGGGGCCTACAAATATTTTGATTTTTTGGGGGGCTAGAAATTAACACTCAAGAAATGACAATTCGCATACCATCAGACAAATTGGGGCAGCTTAAGGACCAGTTAACGTATATATTATCCAAAAAGAAGGTTACATTGAAAGAGCTTCAGGCTCTTCCAGGGCTACTGAATTTTTGTATAAGGGCTATCCCAGCTGGTAGGGCTTTTGTTAGAAGGCTTTATGATGCTACTTGTGGGCTGTCAGAGCCACATCACAAACGCAGGGTCAATTTAGAAATGAGGGCAGATATTAAAACTTGGCTACTGTTCTTGGAATGTTTCAATGGAGTCACTTCTTACAGAACTGTAGATTGGTCAAATGATTTTGACATGGAGTTGTTTACTGATAGTGCAGGGAACATTGAGTTAGGTTGTGGTGCTATTTTAGGTAAGCAATGGGCATTCATGCAATGGCCATCACAGTGGAAAGGGCTAGAGATCATTAAAGACATTACATTTTTAGAATTAGTACCAATAGCAATGGCTTTCGAAATCTGGGGGGAAAAAATTGACTGGCAAAAAAGTTATTCTTCACACTGACAACCAGGCTCTGGTATCAATTCTTAATTCTAAGACATCAAAATCAAAAAGGGTCATGCGTTTGCTCAGAAAGTTAGTTCTTCAGGGGTTAGTGCATAACATCCAGTTTAAGGCAACTCATATCATAGGCCTGCATAATATCAAAGCAGATTCTATCTCTCGACAGCAATGGTCACGTTTCCGAGCCAGCTTCCCAGAGGCAGAGGATCACCCAACATTAATACCCTGGTCATTTCGGCAGGTGATCTGCGACATAGAGCTCATGAGCTCTTAAGCTATTCCATCTCTGACAGTACAAAGAAGTTGTATAACACTGCATTAAATGTATTCAATGATTTTCGCAAGCATTATTTTGACACAGAAGAGTGGCCTCCCCATTACAATCAATTAGTCGATTTTGTCTCCTACCTATCGTATAAGCAGTATTCCCCAAACACGGTTAAGTCGTACATTTCTGGGATATCTTATTTTTGTAAACTTCACAACCTTTCTGATCCAACACAATCATTCTTACTCAGAAAAACCCTGGTAGGGCTGGGCAGAAAAAATGTCCAGGTCGATGAACGTATACCGGTCACTTTAACAATTTTGTCCAGCATCCTTAAGCTGCTGCCCACAATATGCAAATCTCATTATGAAACGATGCTGTTCTCAACCATATTCTCAACAGCCTTTTTTGGTTATTTCAGAATGAAGGAGCTGGTTCAAAATTCAATGCATGACCCTGGTCATGCTATTCAAGCCGGGGATGTAACTTATCACAAACAGACCAATAAAGTCCTCATTGTCCTTAAACACTCCAAAACTGATCAAGAGGGGCAACAAGGTCTTTACCACAAAATGAAATTATTTGCTATTTCAAACAGCTGTATACTACATCCCACTTACTGTTACATGCAGTATTGTCGTTTGTTAAATCCCACACAACAGTTAAGGCAATGCACTTGTTCGCAACAGGGGGGCAACAATTTCACTAACAGCCACTTTGCAGGCAGTATGCCCAGTGCGCCTAGTTTTATCATTTATGCAACTAAGACCTAGCATCCCTTCAGCATTTTTTTGCCACATCTCAGGTAGTCCAGTGACAAGGTATCAGGTGTCAGCTGTTTTCAATATGGCCTGCCTTAGACAAATTGGGGTTAAGCAAGCAAACTTATAAAACTCACTCCTTCCGCATAGGCGCAGCCTCAACTGCCTGGGCCAATGGGGCCAGTGAAAAAGACATTGCTAGTAAGGGCAGATGGAAATCTCAGTGTCTGTACAAGAACATTAGGAATTAACATGTTCATAACTCGCTAACTTTTCTGTTGTCAAATCTTTGTAGGTGTAAAGAGAATATGGATCATTGGGTCCTCCATTGTTAAACATGCATTTTATTATGCCAGAAAATCAGTATTTGGCACCAACTTAGAATTAGACCGGCATAATGCTACCATATTCTGGCAAGGCAAAGGGGGTATGAAGGTGGAGGACATCTTACCCAAAATTAGAACTTTACTCAAGACAGAAAATGCTCCTCACATGTTAGTTATTCATTGCGGGGGAAATAACATTCCATGGTATAGTGGGGGTAAGTCAGCTGATTTACGTTTCAGATTAAAAGAAATATTACAAAAATTAGAAAAATTGCTACCATCAACTTTACTTATATGGTCACAAATACTGCCACGTCTTCATTGGAGGGGGGGTATCAACCAGTCTGCTATGGAGAAAATAAGAGTCAGAGTAAATAGCTATGTGGCTACTCACTTGTTAAGGTCCGGGGGGAAGTACATCAGGTTTCCAGAGTTTATACATAGGATCAACACAGGCATGTTTTCTAAAGATAGGGTTCACCTTTCTGAGATGGGTAATAACTTGTTTTTGTATAGGTTGCAACAGGCTTTGCAAGTGTTTTTGATTAATAACTCAGTTCACGTGTCCCCAAGAGATGGGGAAATTGGGCCATGGCTGCGCCATGACTAAGATTTTAGTCATGGTAACTATTTTATTTACTGTCCATAGACTATTGAGGGTCTATTTATTTGTACTGTCATGCACCAAGTCAATTTTTGCTCTTGCTCATAGACTGTTGAATGTCTATGTATTTGTATTGACATAGTTTCTTATTTTATGGTCATTTTATTTTACCAAATATTGATTATTGTCATAAATTACAATATTTGAGGACATAAACATGAGTTATGCAATTATCAATTTTAAAAAAATTTCAATCTCCCCTTTTTCCCCCCTACCGTCTGACCTACTGGTGGCGCAGCCAATGCTCAAAGCATAGGCTCGTGGCGGATATTTGGCTCACCAGTAGTGCCTAACCTTGATTCTTAATATATGACTTGGTGCACAATTGATTGAATTTTGCAATTATTGTCCAAGCAGGCGAGCATCTGTTCCCAGGGCTCTCCATTATGCTTGTTTATTTGTGGGGACGCCACCAAGGCAAGAATTGATGCTGGGCTCCCTTATTTGTTTTAATGCAGCCATGGCCTATATCGCCAAATAAATATAAATAATTAAATAGAAGTTTTTTATTATCTTTGGTATAAAGGCCCAAGGTAAGGGCATCTTTTGATAATGCGATTTAACCACTCAAGGTTAAATCCGTTTATCAAAGTGCCATCGAGCTTTTTATTATTTCGGTATTAGGAGGTATCCTTCCGGTCCTGGCCTTGTATTAGCGCCATCCTGTTCTCAGGGTTTTCGGGGTATTAGCCAAACCCATGCACTTAAACCTGTGACGTCGAGCGCAAAAAATCAAGTTTCTTCAAAATTTCAACCCCTCCCAACCACGCCCTTTAATAAAGTAATATGTTAATGGAAACCATTTGCTGCTTTCTCGTGTTTTGTTCTGTTTTCTTTTTCAGACATATAAAGCATTAATCCATATCCACAACAAGGTCCCCTCCTAACCGTCACGGCTGGAATCACATTCTTCCTGGAGGAACACATTGCCCAAGCGGATATTTGGCTCACCAGTAGTGCCTAACCTTGATTCTTAATATATGACTTGGTGCACAATTGATTGAATTTTGCAATTATTGTCCAAGCAGGCGAGCATCTGTTCCCAGGGCTCTCCATTATGCTTGTTTATTTGTGGGGACGCCACCAAGGCAAGAATTGATGCTGGGCTCCCTTATTTGTTTTAATGCAGCCGTGGCCTATATCGCCAAATAAATATAAATAATTAAATAGAAGTTTTTTGTTATCTTTGGTATAAAGGCCCAAGGTAAGGGAATCTTTTGATAATAAGCAGGGGAATCTATTGAAAATTGATTAAAAATACATCAGAAAGACAATAAACATTTGTTATAAAGAGGGAAATTATCAACCTTTGGATGCATGTTATATGTCAAGTGACGTACAACATTAAGAATATTATTTGGTAGCTTGGATTTTAAACAAGACATATACTTCTTTCCGCAAATGAAAAGAATTCACAGACATGTCCAAACTAACATTTCTGCAGACCATATCTTTTACTGGTGTTGTACTATTTCTTTCGGCTTTAGGAGTGGAATTCACTCCAAAATTTGAGCACTTTATTACTTTCGTTGGCACTATTTCACAAGAAATTTTTGAATTGAATGGAGTTAGTCTTGTTGTGTGTTCAACAAATTGTGCCATCAGCTGGGCTTGTGTAGCATTATTATATAGCCCAAGAATGAAATCATGTAAAACATTACGAGAGTT